CCCGGACAGCTGTGCAACCTCACCAGTGCACCCCGGACAGCTGTGCAACCTCACCAGTGCACCCCGGACAGCTGTGCAACCTCACCACTGATCTAGAGCACACTCCCGGCTCCAGAAGGGAACCCATGACATTGTGACTCACTTCTTTCTCCCCAGCCCTGGTAACCTCTTAACTGTTCTTCAGCCGGTTTGCCTGTTCTGGACAGTGTATAAACGAAGCCATACACATACGACCTTTGTAACTGGCCTCTTGGACTTACTGGCCTATTTCCAAGGTCTCTTTCATGCTCTGTCACAGATCAGTACTTCACTCCTTTTTTATGACCAAATAATATTCCATCATATGGACAGACTGTATTTTGTTTATCAGCTGCTGAACACTTGAGTAGTCTCTGCTGTTTGGCTGGTAGGAACAACGTGGGCCTGATAGGTATGAACATGTTTTCAGTTCTGAAGGAAGGTTCTGAAATATTGCTTTTAATTGCAAGGTCCTTCTCCATGCCTGCACAGAAGACCCGAACATCACCCAGGGCGCTATTACACTACTTCAGCCCCGTCTCTCCACGTGTGCCCTGTGCCTTCTCAGACCTTCTGAGGATCCCATGCTGCAGAGTCCGCTGTCCTCTTGGCTCTTTTGGGACACACCAAGCACCAGTACTGCTAGCTTGTGACACTTCCCAGGGCCCTAGGGGCGGGCTGCCATGTGAGAGCGCCCTTGCGCAAGTAAGCAAATGGAGGGCAGAGGGGATGAGAGAACCGCCCCAAACCAGAGGTGACTTGGATTTGAGGCCTGCCATCTCCTTCAGAGAGCACAGGAGGGATCCAGAAAGCCTTTGCTTCAGGACACAGGGCATTCAGGACTAGCTCTGGAGCTTTCTAGTCAACCTTGCAAAATCCGGGCCCCTCCCCCAGGCTTCCGCATCAGCAGCCTATTCAACTGCTTCAACGGCAAGTGGATCAATATTCTCATGTAGGAAAAGCGGTTCGTGGCCTGCCTGTGCACATAAATCACTTGGAAGGAAGACAGGGTTTGATTCAGTACATCTGGTGCTGGCCTTGGGTGTAAATTCCTTGTGTGTATGGATGAGTGCAAGTGTGTATGTGTGTGTATGCCTGTGTGTATGGCTGGTTGGGTGGGCACATGTGTGTATGCAGGGCTGTAGCAACTTCCCTGTATCCTGCCTCACAGTCAGATGGATGGATGAAGGAAAGGCTGGATATTCTATCTGCGCCTGCTTTTAGTTCCCCGGGTGGCCCTGGGTCCGGGTTTGGCCTCTCCAGATTCTCAGCTAAATTCTCTGCCCCACCTTCCTGCAACACAATGGGGTCATTTGGCGGACACTCACTGCCATCTGTGGATGTATCCTTCATTTCTAAGCTCTATTTCCCCTCCATCCTAAACATCGTATCAAGATACACTCTGCAAATCTAGTAGAAGGTGTGTTGCTTATGGTCCATACAGCGCTGTAAGTCTTACCACTGAGACTATTGCAGAGTTGAAGACATGCAGCCTGTATAAGCCCTGGGAGCTGGAAAGAGTGTCTCAGTGGACGAACAGGCCCAGCACCGACTTCGTGCCAGGCCCAGCACACACACCAACCCACTCTGTCCTCCGCTGCCACCCCTGAGAACATTTCCAGTATCAGCACCCCAGTGTACAGAGGGGGAAACTGAGACCCTTGGTCTTTCTCTGGCTCACACAGCTAATGAAGGGGCAGAGCCCAGGCATCCAGGCCCCAAGTGCAAAGCCCTGTCAGAACTCTGTGTGAAAGATGGTGGGGATTAATGAAGTGGGGTGTGCTCCATTTAGGGCCCCTGCACTGGTGATACGGCTTACGTTCGGAGAACTGGGACCGAGAAAGTGAGGAGAAAGCCAGGGAGGAAAGAGCCCAGACTGCAGGGCCTTGCGCGCTGCTACAAAGATGGCTTTTATCCCAAGGCAGGGTACACTGTGAAAGCACGGATAATGGGGTGGGGGGCTGTGGAGCCAGGGCAATGCAGGCAGAGAGAGGTTCTTGGTTGGACTTAGGGCAGAGGGAAGGAGGGATGAGTCGGGGGGAGTTTAGAATCCAGAACACAGGTTCTGGAGCAGTGGTCCTCACTAAGGGGATGGAGTTTGCCATCTCCCCCGCCCCGTCTGTCTCTGGGCATTGGTACTGGTGCATAGGAGGTAGGTGCCAGCCAGAACACAGGACTTATCTAGTCCCGATTGCCAATAGGGATTGAGAAAGCCTCCTGGAAGCTACTTGCTGGGAGGGACAGGGGCAGGGGCAGGGGTGGGGTGAGAGGTGATCTGCATTGTACCAAGCTGACTCTGACAATGATCAGTGTGATGTGCTCAGCATTTCCTGACCCCAGGTCATGGTCCTGGTCACAGAACTTGGTCCCTACCAGGGTCTTGGCCTGTGTAGAGTGTGTTTATTCTGGGTGATGAAATCTTCACAGGGACACCCTCCTCCTGGACCCATTTTTCACATGTGGTAGGGACAGTTCCCTCTAGGAAACTGCCTGACTCCTCCTCACCATTAGCTCTTAGGGAAGCAGTAAAGATGGCTTTGGAAAGCTCCGTGGTACAGGCATAATGTCCTGGTTTTGTTTGATATTTCCACCCCTGGAAGCTAGTTTGTAAAAATTTTAGTAACAAATAATCAAAACTTGAAAATCATCAGAAGATGACCGCATTTGATGGGGATTGCAGAGGCTTGTGGGTGGTGGCGGGAGGTGTCAGCAGAGCTGGGAAGGAAAAGTGCCCAGAAGAGAGGGAAGGTATCCTGGAGGTCAGTGGAAAAGGAATTCTGCAGGCCACAGTCCCCTCCTGCTCACTCCTATTCTAAGCCAGGCACATCCTAAGAGACCAGCATCTCTCCCTCTGCTGGCCACTCACTGGTATCGCCTGCACTGAGCCTGGGGTAAGTAATAAACAACATTCGAATTTCTGCAAATCAGGCGGGGAGCCCCCTGGCTGTGGAAGGATCAGGAAGACCGTGGACCTCCTCGTTCGTTATCATTTCTGTCAGCCCTGCTGCTGGGAATCCAAGTGGGAAGAAGCAAATGTCCTCCAGAGCCCTGGGCTACCGGGACCTGGAAAATGCCAGCTAGCGGTCCTAGTTTCGGGAAGTAGCCTCTAGGGGGCTCCACTGCCCTGAGCCGCCTCTCCAGCCACAGCTCAGGCTAGCTTCTGCTTTGGTCACACTGAGCACCCCAACCCAGCTCAGGGGGCCTCTGGACAAGCTCCTCGCCTCTGCCTGTGAGGTCTGCTCTTCAGCCTGTGAGGTCCGCTCTTCAGGAGGCCTTTCTTCGGGTGAGTCAGGACTCACCAGGTTTCCTTTGACTCTGTACTTCATGCCACCTACACCTTCAAAGGAGGGCGCACCCTCCCAGAGAACTCTGCCCTTCCTGACACAGGGGAGAGGTGAGGCAGGGAAGCGAGTTCAGTCACAGAGCTCAGAGGTCCTGGGGTGGGGACTGCGGACTCTGTCCAAGACGTGTCCATGGTTGCTCTTGGGTCCCAACAAGCTGTGCTGTGCTGCACTGTGAGACAGGAGTCCCTGTAGAATATACACATCTGAGGGGCAGAGGGGACTGCCACTCATCTGAGTCCCCCAAGCTAGTCCAGGCCCCCTCTCCTTTGACACTAAGATGCTCAATGCCCTTGAGTGACAGTCTCTGCTAGCCCCTCCCTGCTCCTCCCCAGCCCCTTTCCCTGGAGGCTCTGCTCACTGGAGAGCTAGGGGGCCCCTGCATGCCACTGTCACCCAACCTTTGTCAGCCCTTGTGAGGCCCCAGGACTCTTAAAGGCACAGGGTAGGGTCCTTGACTGGAGTCTCCATGACGCAAGCAAGTGGCTTAACCTCTGTGAGCCTGTTTCTCCCACCCAGCCTCCTTTGATAGCTCAGGACTTGAGTCCTGGACCAAAGGAAGGGGCGGGACTCTA